AATGTATGTATAATGTATAATATATGTATGTATGTATATATGTATATTCGTTATTATATGTATATATATATAGATGTACATGATTGTAGATGTATATTATACTAATATAATCAACACCGTGAAACTCATACTTGTAAGTTCGTTTCTATAGGCCATTAACTAGTTCGATATATTGACCATAGACCCTAGCTATGTCAATTAATGAACCGGTTGCAACTTCGCTAACTATGGGGAACCACCTTGTAAAACAGTGTTTCACGAAAAAGCACATCATCAACAGCAATTGTTGTATACCCATTTTACTATTTTTCCCAGCATAAATTAGTTCATTGTTTCCCCTTAAGATAGCAAAAATCATGGTAACGCAAAGATTGGGAATTCCAAATGATTGTAATCATCATCCCAAAAAGATAGAACGATTAATTATATACTAGGGATTTACTTTTCTATATTTTTGGGTTTTATGACATTCTGTCCCAACCCTCTACTTGGGATTTTGTATGACCCAGTTGTAGATGGAATATCCCGAGCCATATTACTGGATTATACCCTCAGGTGTCATCAAAGGTGGCAATTTCTAGGTTTAGTTCGAGGGGGAATTAATCGAACTAAATGATGGTTTTTCAATCAAACCATATTTGATTACCGGAGGGAAAATATCTTTACTCACCAGGCAGTAAGTGGGATGATCCTTATTTGAGATCGGGGTGAGACGTAAAGACAAAAGAGATTGTGGTTGGACTGTGACAGGATCAACATGTGGCTGACAATTGGGGATACAGACACCTTGTTTTGTGTTCAGTAACATTTTGAGGTATATACCCTATGTTTAGACAAACCCACATGGATTTTAGTTCATCTACAACATTCCAACTGATTGATTTTTTGTGTGCGTATATCGTGTCTTTCTATTTATACCCAAGAACCATATAGAACCCTGAGGTGTGTTTAATGTGAATGGGGGGAATGGGATTTTTCATTATTCTGATTCTAACGTATCCTAACCATGATAATCCCAGTATTTTTTTTTTGAGGTGTAACAGGTATTTCCAATGGGTTTCCTTGTAAAACCACGGTTTGTCGGGGACTTGTCCCGTTTTTCCAGGTTGTGCCGTGCGAACTGGCCGGGGTGCAAGGTGCCCAGCATTTTTTTCGCTGGTTGAAGCAGCAAAGACGGGGATTGATGATGAGTTGATGCTAAGTTGCTTGGAATCACAACAAGATAACTCTGGTTGGAGGTGTATGGAATCCTGGAACTAGTCAGTTTCAGTCAATGGGGTAAGACGGAAGCAACAAACATAACTTGAGGGTTACTGAGCAGTGGGATGGTCCACTAGAGGTCAGATAGCTGAAATATGGAACCCAACAGCCAGATCTGGATATGCCCCAGTTTGCTAGTGGTTGATAACCCATGTATGAGTGGGGATATTCCATATTATAACCACATATATATAATATAATATATATATTATATAACCACATATATATATTATATTATATATATATATTATATGTATATTATATGTATATATATATATATTATATATTATTTTATTTATATATATTATATATATATGTATATTATATATACATATATATATTATATAATATATATATATTATATTATATATTATATATATATTATATATATATATCCATTTATGACTGTAAAGCTATCCTTATTTCCGGGATGTTTTTCCCCAAGTATCGCCTCCTCGGAGACATTCGGGTTGCGCCCTGGCTTGGACATCCTGCATGCCACGGCCACCAATGATTTTCCCAGCGAGCCAAAGCTCCATTCATAGGGCATTTGATGATTGGAGGCTATTTCTTGGTCACATGTCATATCTTGATGGAACTGTTACGAGTTATTTTTCATGAAGCTATTTGAAGGCTAAAAGTTGGCCGCTTTAGAGATGGTCAGTGGCCACAAGCCTTGTTAAAACACCTGCTACTGAAAGCCAGAGATATGTCAGATCGCTAAAGAGGGTTACATTCACCTCTGGTAATTTGACAAAGCTATCGAACAAAATCGTTTTTTTTACAAGGTGAATCATCAAGAAATGGGACCATTGTCCACAGCTATGTCAAATGACCGGAGGGTATCGTGCATCAGCATCTAGCAACTCTTGCGACTCTCCACCATTGCTGCGGGTGCAGCCATTCCTTGCCATGTTCAATCCGCCTGTCTCGGTGTAAAATTCCTGTCTTCTGATCAGATGTAGTCCCCACTTTATTTCATCACCAGGGTTGGCCGGTATCAATCCACATTCTTTCTGGAGTAACATCAACGCCCCTTTTTTCGAGATTCGAACAAGAAGAAGACGGTTTTTCCAATGCTTACGGATAAATTTCCATTTGACATTTTACGGATAATAACCATATTTACCCTCTGGTAAACTAACATAGCTATGGAAAATCACCATGTTCAATGGGTAAATCCACTATAAATGACCATGTTCAATAGCTATGTGACAAATTACCAGGCCGGGTAACCCCTGGTTGTTGATCTTCGACCATCTTTGACCGTCGCTCGCCACAGGGCAGGCGCACGGTGGCATGCTCCGCGCCGCGCAACGGGTGAGTGAGCGGCTGCTACGCTTAGTGTTGCAGGGGCTAGAGATGTTGGAGGCGAAAATCAAGGAACATACAGTGGATGGTTGCGAAATCCTGCACCACCTTGGATGGTTGAAGCCCCAGAAGATTATGGGATAAACGACCGTTTTCAACTGGTGCAGGATTTCTTGCATCCACCCTATGTAGCTGGTGGCTTCATAAATGGGAGGTTTCCTAAAATGGGGGTACCCCCAAATCCAAATTGAAGCCGGTTTTGGGGATACCACATTCTAGGAAACCTCTAAATGATGGTTTTATTATAGTGCTTTTCAGGGAATTTGATGAGGATGAATGTGATTCGGATGTCTCAGAAGTGGGTGTTAGGAGTGAAACCAATGATTATCTAGCAGAGATAGGGATCTAGCCAGCATAAATGGTGAATGAGCCAGAGTAAGGGGCCAAACCATATTTTCTTAATCACTATGTGTTGTGATTTGTGGGGGGCTATATGTCTCCAAGTATGGTAAAGTATTTGATGTTCGATGGCGGTTGACAAGGGATCTAAACCAACACAACGGGGATATAATACTCACCAATATGATGCTGATCGTTTGAACATTGTGATTTAACCAACAAGAAGGGTGTTTTAACTTTCAACCAACAAAAATTGAATAGAATGGGGATATGATGGGAATCATGTGGGATATATTGGCATATATGGGTACCCAATGGTACCCATTATATATATACATATGTACACACACATACAGCCAGCTTAATATGATATGTTGGATATGTCGGAACATGGGTGTGTTAACCAACAACACTGGGGATGAATATATACAATGTTATATATATATGATATATATATATATGATATATGTGTATTATATATATATATATATACATGTGATAGGCTTGACAGGCGAAATCGATGGGTCCAATGAACTCAGATCTTGATCATTAAAGCAACCATCCACCTGGGTCAAACTCGAGTTTTCAAGACTGGGATGGTTCGGTTTGTTGAGACATTTATCCGGACATATATGCTGTCATTTACTCTGCCATGTACCCTCTGGTAAACGTTTACATAGCGAACTGGAAAGATCCACCATTTTTACTATGTAAATCAACTATAAATAGCAATTTTCAATAGCTATGTGACAAATTACCAGAGGGTATCCTGACTTGTATTCTAACATGTAGTCCAACATGCCAATATTGATCCTCGCCATATAGCCATCTTGGGGGATGGTAATCACTCCCTACTGATGTGGACCACAATCAAAAAATACCGTGCGACTTGACCATAGCACACATATCAAGTGACACTTGATCTGACATTTCTTTTTTTATGTGACATCTATTCTAACATGGAATCCAACATCTATTCTGGCATGTGTTCTGGCAAGTTTACTCACTTGCACAGGTACATGTATTCTAGCATAAACTAGGGAACACCGCCTTGAGGCGGGTGTGGGTTTTCTGCAATTGTGTACTTGGTGATTGAATCAAAAATCACCTTTTTACACTGTAATTTACAGTATTTTACGGTTGTGATCTATGATGTTTTGACGTTTGCTGCAAGAGGTCAAAGTGCCAAAAAAAACTTTTGCAATTCCGCAACATCTGCTTGAGGTTCAATGCATTCTTTTTTTCCTCAGTGCTCTTTCAGTCGGCATTCTTCGTTTTGAAGAGCTTGCCCAAAGTCTGGATGTATTGATGCTGGTGTGCAAATCTAAATTGCCATGATCTCACATAGATCAGTAGCTTTTTATTGAGGCGTCATCTTTACGGTCGAAAGGAACGTTATCATCCCCCCCCCCAAAACCCCCCCTCCCGGTCAAGGTAGCAAGACGTCAGCAACAAAGTTGGGCAACGTGTCTTCGGTAGCGTCATCTTACAGTCGAAAGGAACGTTATCATCCCCCCCCACCCCCCCTCCCGGTCAAGGTAGCAAGACGTCAGCAACAAAGTTGGGCAACGTGTTTCCGGTAGCGTCATCTTACAGAATTACAGTCGGCAAGAGCGTTAAACACATATAATGCCAAAGATCACAAACGTGGAAAAAACCACGCCCGCCTCGGGGCGTTGACCCCATAAAGTACATATTCTGACATTTGATGTGGACGTGGCACATTTCTTGCGACATATATTATGTTGACAGACAAATTTGACATGTATTCTGACAGCTTCTCTGGCAATTTCATGTGGCATATTTTTTGACATAGGTTCTTAAACTTTGCCTGCCATGCATTCTGACATGTATTTCGACATTTGTCCTTACATGTACTCTCACTCCGGTGCGGCAGGCTGAGTCCGTACCCGTACCCCCAGCGGTTTTTGCTGGGATCTCCCGAGACAAGACAGTTCAATACGCTTAAGTGAATAGGGGTCGAGACTTGACAGCTAGATTGGTGGGTCATTTTTGGCATATTTTTGTATACCTTGGATGGGTAGTTTGATGATTCTCTTGCCATGAATGGGGAAGATCAGTCATCCAGAATTCTCATCCTCAGAGCTTGGAAGGGCAGATGTTGTGTTTCATGGAGGAATTTGAGGCTGGAGGAATTGCAACAACTTCACGAGGTGGCCGGGAACCATTAGCCCATTGTATATACCCTCTGGTTATTTAACATAGCCATGGAAAGATCCACCATTTTTAATAGCTAAACCATCTATAAATGGACCATTTACCATGGCTATGTTAAATAACCAGAGGGTGTATATATATATATACATAATTAGGGTTTGGAATCACTATACTTCAGCCAGATTGGGTGACATGAAGGCAGCACATCGGAAACGGGGGAAGCATGGGGAAGCCATCCTGATTGAGGTGTTTGCAGGCACCTGTTTGGATGGGTTTATAAATCACATCCCCTAAGGTCGGTCTTGTTAGCTTCCAGCTCGCCTACCTCCCAGAGTGAAGATTTCAAATTCTCATTCCCCAACATGTTGCTACCAGGGAGTGCTGCAAGCCATGAAGGGAGGAAAGATGAAGTACGCAGGCCCAGTACTACTCTAGAGGTGCCGCAATTTTTTCTAGACACAGCTGACCAAACAATCCGGCAAAATAGCCGGCGTGACGGGCCCAGTTGAAGAAACATCCCTGCGCAAACTCCTGCGCTTGAACTTTCAATTTGTTGGGGTCAACGGGCAGCGGCCAGCTCTGGCACAAACTCATGTCATGCGCTCCCAGCCTAAGGCACCCCAAGAAAGGTTGCTGCATGTGTTGGCGTCGAAAGATTCATTGGCATCGCCGCATCGCTTCAATACTATAAGTAGCTGATCGCAATGGGGTTTTCCAGCCACGCAGGCCACATCGGTGAGATCCCCACATTTGCCTGACGTGCTGATCACTGGCCATTCTTTGGGCGGCGGTGTAGCTGCACTACTGGCAGCTTTGTGGAGAGCCCCTCAGCGCAAGTGTTTTTCGCCAGTTTTTAGCATCGAGGAATCACCAGCATTTTCAGAGCCCCGTGTGTGTGGATGATTGCGGATGCCCCAAAAAACATATCATGCTTTTGTTCCTGAAAGCACCATCTGCGAGGGGTGTTTGCGAAAGAGCGGCTGCCAACACACATTTTCAACATACATCACCACCATCATCATAGTATTAATAACCATCATCATGACCACGACAACCATTGCATCGCGATCAACAAGTCTAGTCTACATCATTGTCATCATCATGGCCATCGCCATCACCACCACCATCAACCACCATCATCGTCATCATCATCACCATCACCACCACTATATCTACCCTGTAGGATGGCTACAATGTCCACTTGTATCTGCAGGTATCCACAACTGAGGCCCGTCTTTTGATATTATGACATTTAGGCTTCTTTGGAAAGGAAACTGTGTTGTATGCTGCTGCATAGGCTGGTCATGCATGTTTGGTGTGGCCTAGGCAGAATAGGCCCTTTGCTTCGGCACTTGTGATGCTGCCCAAGCACCAAAAAACACTGCCCAACTTTAGATGCACATACAGGCTTACAGGTAGATGATGGTACAAAGATGCAAGTGTACAGGTCTTCTCGATAGCACTGTGTATGTACAGGTGTGCGCCAAGTGTATAGTTGAGGTTCGGTCAGAACTCTGGTAGGTGGCTCATGCACAGAAGGCTTGTGTCTGGAAAGTGCACCAAACACATCAAACACTGTGTGACGACAGGCCTCCCCAAAAGCGATAGCTACAATCGTGCACCATGTCCACGCCTGAAATTGTTTCATACAAAGTTGAGTACATCCAGGAGGCGACATTAGCGATACCGATACCTCAGCGATACGCGTTTGTTCAAAAAGTAACCCCCGCCCACAAATATGACCCCTTTCATCCTTTTGTTTCCTCTTCTTTCCTTTTCCTTCTCTCTATTAGAGACGCTTGGCGAATACAAGATCTTCTAGTAATTCTAGTAAGCACCTGCGACCTACGCCTTTACAACTGTATATATACAGGTGCAGATGCAGGTATAAAGATGCAGGAGGAACATTCCTACAATAATTATGAGGCAGCAGCGCAAAACAGATCGATGCTAGCAAAACGCAGCTCTCTGGCACAAAACCTCTCCGGTACAAAACGCGTGTCCCAATCCTCAGCTAAAAGTGCGATTAGGCCAGAGCGCGGTAAACCCTTCCCACGTGAAACGCGTGTAGATTAACCAAAACTGAGCTAAACAATTGGATTTCTAGATGGTTTATGGAGTTTCATGTATATATATATTATATGGTTCTGTATTGAAATTGTTTTAACCTCTTTAATCAAACATGTCAATGGAAAACCTACCATCTACAGGTGATTTTCCCAGTGCCAACCATGTTTATGATTACCGCGGGTTATTGTTTTTGATACTTTGCATGTTCCGAAGATCATATGCTCCCATACCCCCCGTGGACTCAAGGATCAAGCCGCCCTACCACCTGGACGAGTGATGCAATGCATCACTTTCGGGTGTCCTCAGGCGCAGCATTTGTATTCGTCAGCTGTATGTGATGCAGCCGAAACAGCCGAATCATCATGCTTGGTTCAACCAAAACTTATTCTCAACAATCTGGCGTGGCGGCAGGTCAATTTTTTCCGAAACTGTTCGTGTTTACACATTGCTAACAATCTAAGTTAGTTGATGATTTGTTCGGGGGTTATACTAACATATACTAACATATACTAATATATACTAACATATACTAATATATACTAACATCTACTAACATATACTAACCAATATATTGGGGATATTATAATTTGATGTGGGAAATCCCTTTGAAACCAGGCAGTATTAGAAGGGACGACATCCCGGGTTCCCGGCAGCCAGGTTTTAGACGCAGAACATGCCATGGCTTTGGCGAATTTCACCACCAGAATCTTGGAAAAGAAGGCGGTGTGACGCTGTGAAAACATGGGATGCCCCCAGGAATTGAGAATTCAAACAGCTATTGAAAATGGTCCATAGTTGATTTACCCAGCTGTAAAATTGTGATTTTCATAGCTATGCTAGCTTACCAGAGGGCACCCCCAGGAATTGAGAACTAAAACATCTTAAAACATGGGAGAACGGAATTGAAAACTTACAAGCTGAGGGTACTTCCGTCCAAATCACTTCTGGATGTGATGCCTACGAAAACCCATCAAACACCAGACCAAATTCATCAGCACAAGATGCGCGCCTTTCAAACATGGTGAATTCATCCAGGAATGAAGTAAAGTTGGGTAGACTTGGTTCCGTCAAATTTGAAGCGGTGGGGCATGTTTTTGATGACTTTGATTTTCTTGGTGTGTAACCCATGAACATTTTCAATTTCGAAGTGAGCCGAGCAGCACAGAGGGAAGAAGCGGAGACCCGGAGGAGTCTAGATGGAATTGACCCACGGACCATGGCCTCAAAGACGTGGCCACTGGACAAACATGTTTGCTTTCTTGGTTCAATAGCTGAACAATCATTTCGAACTATTGAAAAGGTCCTCGTGGTTGGTAAGTGTAACTTGGAGACTCTAAGCGTCATTCTTGGATGCTGCTTCGGACTCATTCCGCGCATTGGCTGGGTTTGTGCCTCCGAGATATGTATCACATTATATCACGGTGTCTTAACCATTTGTTTCCTACATATGCATCCTTGTTGGTCGTAACTCGTAACCCCATTTGTTGTTTGACAAACAGGACTCCTAGATTTTCTTGCTTCCGGCCGAGACATTTGTTGGTTATATTTAAGTCACATTGCTGCATATTGCTGCATCATTGTCCTGAGAAGTTCTTCATTTCGCTACAGACACAGACACACATGGCGATTTCCTAAAATGGGGGTACCCCCAGTTCTCATCCAGTTCTCATCCATTTATAGATAGAATTTTCCATGAAGTAACTCATCCATCTTTAGGGTACCACCATTCCTGGAAACCCCCACATCTTGTTGGATTTTTCGTGCCTGCATTGACCCATAGCCATGATTCATGATTTTCTCTGAAAATTTTTGGGTAGCCCGAAATTTTGTTGTTTACGATCATTATTATGACATGTTATGGCCACAGCTTGGCGGTATGCCCCAGAACACCCACATTAATATCCAAAGTTATCCAAATATCCAGTTGGCTTATCCACACGTCATATCCACATGAAAGACCAAGCTTCCTTTGTGAGACCTCAATTTGTCTTTGATTATCCAATATATAAATACGTATAATTATGTTTTTAAAAATATATATATATTATTATATATAATATATATTCTTAAAAAATATATATATTATCTATATATTATTATATATATATTTTATTATTATTTATATATATATATCATATATTTCATATATACTATATATATATATATTATATTGATTAAATTATATATATGAATTTTATTAAATATTATTATATATAAATATTTAATATATTATATATTATATATTTCAATAATTTATATAATATTTCAATTATATGATACATAATATTTAATTTAATATATAATATATAAAATATAATATAAACATATGATATAATGTATAATATTTAATATATAATAATAATATTTAATATTTAATATGCAATATTTATATATATATATATTTCAAATATTATATAAATTATGTGTATATATATTATATATATTATATTGTATGTTTAATATATATTTATATATAATATAAATTATAGCTAATATTTGATATACAACACATATTTAATATAAACCATGTTTAATATTATATATATATCAAGATTATATATATATATATAATATATAATATATATATAAATATATAGCTATTTAATTTTCTATAATATATATGATTAATAGATAACTCTAGATATAATTCTATTCAACTATAGATATAATGAAATATAACCATAGATATAATTATATATATATATTTACTATATATATGTATACTTATACACACCCATTATATCCCCATGTTTATTCGTTAAACCACCTGGTTCATGGTAAAAAAGCACATGGTTTCCACCAGCGATGGTCCCATTCCAACCTGGCTTCAGATGAGGCGTTATCCTGGGAGACGATCTGGTGCCGCGACTGAGTCTTACGACGGTGCGCCGGGGACAGTTCAACAGATTTTTTTTTGTGATTTAATGGGATTTCATGGTGGTTTAATGGTGATTAATGGAGGTTTAATCTCTGGTAAACATACAAAAAACTATGGAAAATCACCATTTTTGTATTGGAAAATTCACCATAAATGGGAATTCCAATTTTTCCCGAGAGCGTCTGAGCGCAGGGTTCTTCCAATAGTGGGGGTCTGTATCTCATCTTCTCATCTTCTCACCTTCTCATCTTCACACCTTCTCTCACATCTTCACATCTTCTCATCTTCTCATCTTCACACCTTCTCTCACATCTTCTCATCTTCACATCTTCTCATCTTCACATCTGCTCATCTTCACATCTTCTCATCTTCACATCTTCTCATCTTCACACCTTCACATCTTCACATACTCACAGCTTCTCTTTCTCTCTCTCTCTCTCTCGCACTCACACCTTCACATACTCACATCTTCTCTCTCTCTCTCTCTCCTCTTTCCTCTCTCCTTTCTCTCTCTCCTTTCTCTCTCCCTTTTCTCTCTTTCGCCTTCTTTATCTTTCTCTCTTTAGGCCGAGGGTGGTGCCGGCGGGGAGTCACGAAACGTGAACCCTTTCGCACGAAATGAGGGTCGATCGGCAAAAACTGACGTAAAATTGCGAGTTTACTTAGTTTACTTGTCCTGGAGCAACTTTTTCGCACGAAATGAGGGTCGATCGGCAAAAACTGAGGTAAAATTGCGAGTTTACTTGTCCCGGAGCAACCCTTTCGCACGAAATGAGGGTCGATCGGAAAAAACTGAGGTAAAATTGCGAGTTTACTTGTCCCGGAGCAACCCTTTCGCACGAAATGAGGGTCGATCGGAAAAAACTGAGGTAAAATTGCGATTTTATTGCAATCCTTTCGCACGAAATGAGGGTCGATCGTCAAAAACTGAGGTAAAATTGCGAGTTTACTTGTCCCAGAGCAACTTTTTCGCACGAAACGAGTGTCGATCGTCAAAAACTGACGTAAAATTGCGAGTTTACTTGTCCCGGAGCAACCCTTTCGCACGAAATGAGTGTTGATCGTCAAAAACCGACGTAAAATTGCGAGTTTACTTGTCCCGGAGCAACCCTTTCGCACGAAATGAGTGTTGATCATCAAAAACTGAGGTAAAATTGCGATTTTACTTGTCCCGGAGCAACCCTTTCGCACGAAATGAGTGTTGATCGTCAAAAACTGAGGTAAGATTGCGATTTTACTTTTCCCGGAGCATCTGTGTAAAAGTGTGTGTGTGTGTAAAAGCTTCTGTGTGTAAAAGTCTTTGTGTGTAAACGGGTTTGTGTGTAAGAGTGTTTCTGTGTAAAGATGTTTGTGTGTAAAAGTGTTTGTGTGTAAAAGTGAATCTGTGTAAAAGGGTTTGTGTGTAAAAGCTTTTGTGTGTAAACGTGTCTGTGTGTAAAAGGGTTTGTGTGTTAAAGCGTCTCTGTGTAAAGTGGTGTGAGTGCAGAAGGGTTTCTGTGTAAAAGGTGTTTCTGTGTGACAGCGGCAATGTGTGTGTATAAGCTTCTGTGTGTAAAAGTCTTTGTGTGTAAACGGGTTTGTGTGTAAGAGTGTTTCTGTGTAAAGATGTTTGTGTGTAAAGATGTTTGTGTGTAAAAGTGTTTGTGTGTAAAAGTGCATCTGCGTAAAAGTGTCTGTGTGTAAAAGCTTCTGTGTGTAAAAGTCTTTGTGTGTAAACGGGTTTGTGTGTAAGAGTGTTTCTGTGTAAAGATGTTTGTGTGTAAAAGTGTTTGTGTGTAAAAGTGAATCTGTGTAAAAGGGTTTGTGTGTAAAAACTTTTGTGTAAAAGTGTTTGTGTGTAAAAGGGTTTGTGTGTTAAAGCGTCTCTGTGTAAAATGGTGTGAGTGCAGAAGGGTTTCTGTGCAAAAAAGGTGTTTCTGTGTGACAGCGGCAATGTGTGTGTAAAAGCGGCTTTGCTTACAAGTTTTGTTTTCTTGCCTCGTTGATTGTTTGGCATGTTTGTTTTCCGGTCGTCCCTGTCATGTTCAGGCCTTGCTGGCAAGTTTTAAGCAGTCCTGGCTTGTTTGCTTGGCATGTTTAGTAAAGTAGACATGCTTAATTTTACCCTGAAAGAGATATGAATGGATTAATGAGGTTACATTGGGATTCATTGATTTTTGGGTTGTGGAGCTTGTGAGTAGTCCTGATTTGTTTGCTTGGCAGTCCTGACTTGATTTTGCTTGGCATGTTTAGTCGGCATGTTTTAATTTTACCTCGAAGGAGATGTGAATAGATTAATGAAGTTACATTGGGATTCACTGATGTTTGGATTGTGGAGTTTGTGGGTAAGACTTTAGGGTAACACTTTAGCATTACATTTCCTTGCTAAGGTTGGCATGAACGTTTTTTGTTTGCTCCCGGAACTGTCCGAGCAAAGATGACCGGAAGCATTTCCAGATCTTCTTTTGCGCAGACACGTTCGTGTGCATGTTTGCTTGACATGTGCATTGTCTGTTTGGCATGTTTATTTTCCGGTCACCCCTGTCATGTTCAGGCCTTGCTTACATGTTTTGCTTTCTTGCCCCGTTGATTGTTTGGCATGTTTGTTTTCCGGTCATCCCTGTCATGTTCAGGTCTTGCTGGCAAGTTTTAAGCAGTCCTGGCTTGTTTGCTTGGCATGTTTAGTAGGCATGCTTAATTTTACCCCCAAAGTGATATGAATGTATTAAGGAGGTTACATTGGGATTCACTGATTTTGGGGTTGTGGAGTTTGTGGGTAACACTTTAGCATCACATTTCTTTGCTGAGGTTGGCATGAACATTTTTTGTTTGCTACCCGAACTGTCCGAGCAGACATGACTGTAAGCATTTCCAGAGCTTCTTTTCGTGGCTGTGCTGCTTGTCTTCGGAGATTTTGGAGGCCTGCTGCATGTTGTCATCAGTGCGTGGCAGTCATTCGATGTTTTGCAGCTAGTTTTTGGTTGCCCGTCTTCGGAGTGAGATATATAGAGATGTATAGAGCAAGTCTATTTGCATAATAGTATGATCTTGGAACTTTCAACTGCAAGCTGGCGTTCCGTTTGTTCGTCAAAGCATGAAGCTGGTCAGCGCAGCTTTTGGTTCGAGATTCGTATCTCGCTTGGCCTTTATAAGTTGTTTCTCTTGGTTCGTTTCAACCGGAAATGTCCGAGAAGCTCCGAGAGTTGCAACAAGGCTTGAAAGAGGGGGGAGTTGATCCCTTCCGGCGCCAGGTGCGCAAAGTCGGGATCAATGCATTGAAGGCTTTAGCCGGTTTCTTTGGGTAGCATCACAGAAGGTGTTAGTTTGGATTCAGTGGGAGCAGTTGTGTGGATAGTTGTTTTTGGGGGATGCTCTGACAGTTCTCTTGTCGTGGGCAGATAGGCTTCTCTCTGGACGGACGAACTTTTCTAAGTAAAGAAAAGCAAAAACTATATATTTTCTGTTGCTTCTTCAAAGTGATCCCCTTTGAGATGGTTCATTGACCTTTTTTAGTGTTGATCGAGTGGTTTCAAATTGATGGTTGACGAGGTCATTTTGAAGAAGCAAGTAACTAGCTATTTCCTGGAGAAGAGCATCACGGCGATCACCAAAGTCATCACAGATGTGTGAAGAAAAGGGTGAGCAAGGAGTCTAGAAGCTTTGGGCCTTGGACTAAGACTAAGAGATCCATTGGCGAGCCTTGACCAGGGAGAGTTCCTCATCGATGCGGTGAGGACACAGTGCCAGCTTCCGAACATTCGCATGGCTGAATGATCAATTCCTGGATGCGATCCGACAACATACGAACCACTACTTCCAGCTGAGCGACTTCGAGCAGGCGACCCAGACTTACTTCTCGCTGGCACGGCGCGCTTGCACGGCGCGGACTTATCGTTTTGCAGCACAGTGCCAGTGGACCCGACCATGCTGAATGGCATGCAGCAGCTGTGATAGTCTGCGAGCAGTGATCGCTTCAAGGTTTTGCAGGACAATATCGGGACGGACAAAAAAGTTTTAGTTAGGCTCGCCATGACATTACACACTTGGTCACACATTATGACGAGATGCATATCATCGAGTCCTAATTAATAGCCTTAGGCCTTAGCTTCAGACTTTGATAATGCGTATATAATTATGGCCTGCTCCTATAATACTTTGAGGGGATAGGATGGTTCCCCCACCCTGGCGGGGGGCCAGGTCGGTTCTTTGTCTGACTCAACACCTTTGTGAGCAGCTTAGTTATTTGATTTTGAACTTTGATTCTTGTATTGCAACCAGAGCTGTCTGAGCAATACTTCTATAGACTGTACTATATTGAATGCATGTCCACCAAATACATGGTACGAACTTCACCCCTCCGTCGAATTGCTGAGGTGGCCACGACAACAATGACTTCACTGTGACTGCGTGAACATGGGCCGGCCTGTGTGTAAAAGCGTCTGTGTGTACAAGCGTCTGTATGTAAAAGTGATTGTGCGTAAAAGCGCTTGTGTGTAAAAACGTTTGTGTGTAAAAGCGTTTGTGTGTCAAAGCTTCTGTGTGTAAAAGCGTCTGCGTGTAATAGCTTCTGCGTGTAAAAGCGTCTATGTGTAAAAGTGTTTGTGTGTAAAAGTGTTCGTATGCAAAAGTGTTTGTGTGTGAAAGTGCCTGTGTGTCAAAGCGTCTATGTGTAAAAGCTTCTGTGTGTAAAAGGTTTTGTGTGTAAAAGCGTCTGCGTGTAAATGCTTCTGTCTGTAAAAGCTCCTGTGTGTAAAAAGGCTCTTTGTTAAAAGTGTCTGTGGGTAAAAGCTTTGTGTGTAAAAGTGTCTGTGTAAAAGCGTCTGTGTGTAAAAGCTTCTGTGTGTAAAAACTTTTGTGTGTACAAGCGTCTGTGCGTAAAAGGGTCTGTGTGTGAAAGTGTCTGTCTGTAAAAGCTTCTGTGTGTGAAAACTTTTGTGTGTAAAAGTTTCTGTGTTTAAAAGTGTTTGCGATGCAAAGTATTGTCTTGCACTTCTGCTATTTTGTCTTAATACTCCTCTTCTCGACTGCCTATAACACATCTTTAATATATTGTTTCTTATATGGTGTCTCCATACTAACAAGAGAAGACCCTGCTCCTCTACGCTCTCGGGCCATCCGTCGTCTAGTTTTAATTGGAGCTTTAAAAAGAGGATTTTACAATGCAAAAATAGGAATATTCATTTGTTTGATTGGGAATTGATTGTTGGCACCCTGTTTCATATGGGGGTGTTATACGTTTGGAAACCATAATAGGAATATCGACAGGGATACTTGGGGGTGCAATTCCAGTGAACAAAGTGGATGTGTAACCATGATTCGTGAGATTATATCTCAAAAATGTGGGGATTGTGGTGGGTTCTTACCTATTAGCGGGCTAAGCTATACCATGGTTATAGATATATCATGCCCATTAATAACCCCCGCAACCCAAGTACCTTGCTACACCTCTGTTCTCCCATGGATTAATCCCCGTGGTGAACGCATGTTGAACTCGGGTAGACGATCCCCAATTGCCAGACAGGTGCATAAAACATGCACATTTGGAGGAACCCTTTTCAAGAAGAGAATCGTGATCCCCATGTTTTGGCTGGTTGGTGGTTTGGATCATTTTTTATTTTCCAGTTCATATATGGGTTGTCATCCTTCCCATTGACTCATTGACGAACTCATATTTTTCAGAGGGGTTGAAACCACCAACCAGCTGACCAGATCCACCAGATCGTGTGGATCCCATGACACGAACTGCATGGAACCCAATGTACTGTTGAATTTATCAAATACAACATAGTAACTATTAACACAACATATTTCATGGAATATTACGATTATTACGCAAAAATATGAGTATGAATAGTATGAATTCATATTTTATAGGTCCTGAAACACCGCACGCAGGTCCTAATGGGCCCATCTAAGGTAACACACCATGACATATTAAACATGGGGATGGACCGAAGAAATCATGGGACTCCCACTTTCTCCGAGATGGCGTATGGTGAACCATGTTTCAACATTACAAAATGATGTCTAAAAAATCCAGTACCCATGTGAACAGCGCCTGTCTGGGAAAATCTAAAACATCCCGTGATATGTTATAAGTTATACATTTAAACAACACATAGGAATTTAGACATGAAAGTAAATATAAATTCCTATGACAATATTATATTCATAAACTTATCTTTCTGATAAACTGATTCACGAAAATTGTTTTTGACCACTCAGATTCATGAAATCAATTTTGATCACATTGGGGTTGACCCATGTTGACCCTGGATCCTGTGATTCCAACAAAATACGATTCACGGCAGGTCCAAGACCTTCGCGAGTCCTGCCTTCGTGTGAACGATCCTGAGGTGGTGGATTTTTTGTTACTGAACCACCCTGAAACTTGGTGAAATCAAGACTATCATGGGGATACAATGAGGAAATGACAGATTATAGAGTAAACAACACTATGATGTTGGGATGGAACTATTTGGGTTTGTCCACACAATTTGGAAAAATATCTAAATTTGCTGGTTGAAAAAAATGTGTCCTTTCTATGATATCAAAATGGCCATCAGCCTTGATTCTTGAAACTGCTGGCAGAATTACAGTTTCAACGCGTTCTTGATGTATAGATTGGTTTGTTTAAAGATAGGTTTCTCCCCGAATCCAAAAGTTTATCAATGTATATCAATGTGCAGCATCATTTCCCCTATCAAAATGCCATGAAAATAGGGGATCTACTCCATTTTCAGACAAAGCCATATACAGCGCGAGCGTTATATAAGAATGTTGGTTGCCGATGGCCAGGGTCCGTCAATTTCTTAACGGACAGGGCCCATGTATTTCAGTATGTACAGTATGTGCAATGAATCGGTCGAGGATCCCTCAATTTCTTAGCAATTTCTTAGCAATTTCTTTATGTAGTAGACAATGACACACCCAAGATTCCCAACATGCTGAAGGATATTGGAGCCTTAGCTTCAGAAAAGAGACGTGCAAAGTTTAAAAGAAGACAGGTTCATGCGGCATTTTGCTGGTGACACATTTCAAATTTAGATTAAAGTCAATCAGAGGGCAAAACACAAGAGCAGATAGATTTTCATAAAGTCTCCGCAACCTTCGGAGTAGGAACCAGCAGTTTCACGGGGTAGGAGTAGGAACCAGATCTTTCACGAGGTAGGTGGAAGGCTAGTCTCTAAAATCTCATGGTTAACCAATCCAGCCCCTGGATTTCTTAACCATGCAAGGGTTTGAACAGCCTTGTGTAGAGGAGACCTTACCGGGTAAGGGTTGAAGTCAATACATGGCTAAAAAATCCAGCACCTCAATTTCTTAACCATGCAAGGGGTTGTTTGTTTGTCTTTCCAGAGCGCAAACGGTTCTTCCGAGCCTGACCCTGCTCTTCTTGTGCCCATCAGTTTCTTCGCAAACATCCAAATTTCTTAGGCTTGAAGATTCCAGGGCCCCTCAATTTCTGAATTTCCATTTCCATATACATTCCACAAAACATCTACGCGGGAAACAAATCCAGCCCCTGATTTTCTTGTACAAGAATTCTTTTACAGTACTGGGACTGTATCCCATGGGATTGCCTAAACTGCCAACCAAGGGGCTCCTGCGGTGGATATAGCGGAATGTATAGACAACACCGGCAGGATATTGGGTGTGTCTGAAAACGAGTTTTTTTGTTACTTCCCAAAATTGGAACATCTCAAAAAATCAGTTGGGATAATGATAGCATATGATAGCCATTAGATAATTCGATTCAATATTCACACAAATCCACGATGCCAGCAGTAGAAGAACTTATGGAAGTCCAACATGTGAGGATCACAAGCACGGATTTAGCCCCTGTTTCCCAAAAAAACATAAATCTGAAATGGTGGATGACCAAGGTTCCCCACTTAAAAACAGAGACCTGTTAATCATCTTACCTGAGATCCATGTCTTTAGCGCTCAACCTGTCCTAGTCTAACCGCTCACTGGTTCTGAATCTGTTCTATTATGTTCTACTTTCATTTCAATTTATTTCCATGTCTTTGGTGCAGCTTTCAAATATGGATCCACTTTTTTGAAATACACATGTGTGTATTTATATAATAAGTATTTTGAATCATGAAGCATCATTTTTCATCATTTTTTAGATAAGTAGATATAAGCAGTGATTCATTATGATGAAACCCAAGCTGTTTGGTTTCAAGTATGAATCTACGTTCCACTATAGAAATGCAATGATTATCCCCAATTACTAATTAGTCACTTCCAATTTGTGCCATTTATGTGTGACTCGTGTTTGCATCCATTTTTAGTTTGTCATAATTTCAGACACATGAGTCACTTTCAGATCAATTAATCATTTTTGTAATCATGTCATGTTCCAGGTGATTTTACCGGACATGATTCATAATCAAGTGATAAGCATTATAGAAAACATTATAGATTGATATTTATCTATTTCCAGGATGTTTCAAAAAAATAGACCTATTTCCATGCGACTTAACCCCAGTCCCAGCTGTCATCCGGAGGCCTTCCAGCTTCCCAGCAGTCTCTCCACCACCTCCCTACAAGCGCGCGCAGCTCGAGGCTGAACAAATGGGATTTCTATGGGATTTCAATGGGACTTCACCAGGTTTTTATATGTTTTTTTTTAATTATTATTTTATGTGGCTTTTATGGGGGTTCAGTATCAAGGGGAATGTCATCCTTGCTGGGTCCGTTCTTAAATAGCGTCTGAGCCTGCCTTGACATGGCGACTGTTGCTGAGTTCATGTTCGCTACCTTAGTTTATAAGTAACACCACTAGGTTTATGAAAGATATACCCATAGGATCCATGTCTGGTATATATGCTAACATTTGGGGTACATTGATGGTAAATGTTACCATATATAGCATACATGGATCCTATGGGATATCAAACTAGTCAACGGGTTTATAAAACAACTTCTACCTTGGGGGGCTGCCACCTTGAATGGATTGGTTCTACTGGGTTTCAAAATTTTCAGCCGTAAATTTTCCCGCCAAGTCAGGGAACTTAAAAAAACTATGATTTCAAGCAGCAATCATTGTTAATTAGTGATTAAAGCATCCTGAGATTTCACTATATATGTGGCGATTCAACCAGTGAGGAAACAACCCAGAACTGGAGGCTGTAGATTGGCTGCTTGGTCTTGAACACCCTTTAGATTTTTAACTATGAAAAACACATCATACTCACAAGTCAGTGATTGGAACATGTACAATTTTAGATCAACTTTTTCTTAGGCTTTAATTTAGGCAATATACATTCAATGTACATATTATATATATATTATACTATATCTATTATAATAGAATATATATAATATGACATGATATGATCCCTGAGGATCCCTGAGGATCCCTGAGGCCTCAGGCCGTATCCCTTGGCCGGCCGTCATATCGCCAATATTGGGGGAAGCATTTTCAATGTCACTTTGATCTAAAACACACGTAAGCTAATTATGATATGATATATATATACATGATATATATATATACATGATATATATATATAATATATATGTATCATATATATATACATATGATATAAATACATATAATATATAAATATAAATATATATATATATATATTAGATTTCAGGTGTGCAAAAATCTTTCGGCTTTCGGCAGGCAATGAAGATGACATGGCACATCTGGCAGCAGCCTTTCGCCCCAGCTGGGGAAATTCCAGTGAACGAAGTGGAGATTTCTAGCCTGGAAAGCCATGGGAAAACCCTGGATCTGGATGTGTGGGCCTTCCTGAGGATCCGTGGTGCAGGTTATTGGTGATCCATATTTTTTAAATCCCATATTTCATCCAGTGGGGATATTCCATTAATCAAACTGGGGGTATAGTGCTATTTACTAAATGGGGGAAACGGCTTCCCAAGTAGGAAAAGGAAAAGGATCTACATTCATGTTGAGGTTTCCTAGAATAGGGCTACCTCCAAATCATCCAAAATTTAATAGGATTTTCCCCAACAATCCAGCTATGTTGAGGTTTCCTAGAATAGGGCTACCTCCAAATCATCCAAATTTTAATAGGATTTTCCCCAACAATCCAGCTATGTTGAGGTTTCCTAGAATAGGGCTACCTCCAAATCATCCAAATTTTAATAGGATTTTCCCCAACAATCCAGCTATGTTGAGGTTTCCTAGAATAGGGCTACCTCCAAATCATCCAAATTTTAATAGGATTTTCCCCAACAATCCAGCTATGTTGAGGTTTCCTAGAATAGGGCTACCTCCAAATCATCCAAATTTTAATAAGATTTTCCCCAACAATCCAGCTATGTTGAGGTTTCCTAGAATAGGGCTACCCCCAAATCATCCAAATTTTAATAGGATTTTCCCCAACAATCCAGCTATGTTGAGGTTTCCTAGAATAGGGCTACCCCCAAATCATCCAAATTTTAATAGGATTTTCCCCAACAATCCAGCTATGTTGAGGTTTCCTAGAATAGGGCTACCCCCAAATCATCCAAATTTTAATAGGATTTTCCCTAACAATCCAGCTATGTTGAGGTTTCCTAGAATAGGGCTACCCCCAAATCATCCAAATTTTAATAGGATTTTCCCCAACAATCCAGCTATGTTGAGGTTTCCTAGAATAGGGCTACCCCCAGATCATCCAAATTTTAATAGGATTTTCTCAACAATCCAGCTATGTTGAGGTTTCCTAGAATAGGGCTACCCCCAAATCATCCAAATTTTAATAGGATTTTCCCTAACAATCCAGCTATGTTGAGGTTTCCTAGAATAGGGCTACCCCCAAATCATCCAAATTTTAATAGGATTTTCCCCAACAATCCAGCTATGTTGAGGTTTCCTAGAATAGGGCTACCTCCAAATCATCCAAATTTTAATAGGATTATTGTTCTCGCACCCAATTCCAGCCTATGTGACGGTGTCCTCCAATAGAAAGGGCTAGCCAAAAATCATCCAAATTTAATAGGATTCCCCCACAACAATCCAGCTATGTTTTGAGGTTTACCTAGAAATGTAAGGGACCTACCCCCCCAAAATCATCCAAATTTAAATAGGATTTTCCCCCACAAACAACTACAGCATATGTTGAGGTTCCTAGAAGAGGGCCTACTCCCCAAATCATCCAAATTTATAGGATTTTCCCCAACAATCCAGCGTAGGTTGAGGGTTTCCTAGAATAGGCGCACCCTACCACCAAATCAGCAATTTTAATAAGAGACTTTCGCCCAACAATCCAGCTATGTTGAGGTTTCCTAGAATAGGGCTACCCCCAAATCATCCAAATTTTAATAGGATTTTCCCTAACAATCCAGCTATGTTGAGGTTTCCTAGAATAGGGCTACCCCCAAATCATCCAAATTTTAATAGGATTTTCCCCAACAATCCAGCTATGTTGAGGTTTCCTAGAATAGGGCTACCCGCAAATCATCCAAATTTTAATAGGATTTTCCCTAACAATCCAGCTATTGGCTTATCCCCATTTATGATGACCCAGGCCCACGCTCAAATCGCTGGGGCTTGTCATGGAACCAGCAACAGGTCCGGAAACCCTGAGGATTCGCAGACTTTTTTTCCAGACATGTCCAAGGTATACTATGTATAATATTGTATATGCTTGTATATTATTTTCAGACATTATATTGTATATTTCAGACATGCCTAAGTATATGATTCCATCTATGTTCTTTTTTGCGTGTGTATATGTGTATATGTACATACATATACATACGTAATCTTGTACATAGATACAACACATAATTTGATCTGTGATTGGAAGTTCACACATCAATTGTAGCGGTAGAAACCTGATCAGTTTTGATGTTATGTAAATACTCAATAAAATCTTGTTCTGGCATTGGGGCAGAAACTACTAACAGAACTGTGGTAGACTACAATAACATAACCAACCTACGGTGGGACCGAACCCTGAGTCTGTCCATTCACCCCCATATTTTGATAGTAGCATTTTGTAAAAGGTGCCTGGAGTGTCTGAGGAAAAAACATGTTGTTCACGTTAAAAAGGATCAATAAAAAATAAGCCCCCTGAATTTAATGACGAAAACATGTACAAATCTTGGTTCCCTGCAGGCTCTCCCCCTGAAATAAACCGCTAACATACTCTGTGTTTAGATCTGTTGCTTTGGTTCGACCAACCGTTGCAGCTGGGGCCAACTTGAGCTGAAGGCTTTTCCCTGCTGGGCGTTTGGTGGTGTTGCGGCAGGTACCTGCTGCTTCGTGCGAAAATACCATGATGATTGGAAAGCGGACATACCCCACAATGTCTTTACTTCAGGATGAAGCATTATTCTACCTTGCACAGTTAAAGTGGATTGTCTGAACGTGACCTCTTAATTATATACTTGTATTTCTTGTTTGCTTTAGTGTATGATGATTTAACCACTATGTCAGGAGCTCTCTGATGATATGG